CTGTCTGTCCTCCGTCCGTCGGGGGTGAGTGTGCTCTTGGCACGGACGTCCTTGAGGACAGGCAGGAAGACTTTGACTGTCTTGCGAATGCTGTACCTCATCTCACGGCCTGGCTGCTTGCCCCTGAGGGAGACCCGGATGCACTGGACATCCCTACCCCGCGCTCTTACACAGAGGCGATCTCGGGTCCCTACTCCTCTCAGTGGCAGACAGCCATGGACGTAGAGATGGCATCCTGGAAGTCCACAGGCACCTATGTCGACGAGGTTCCCCCTCCTAGGGCGAACATCGTCGATGACATGTGGATTTTCAGGGTGAAGCGGCCGCCGGGTTCTCCGCCTGTCTTCAAGGCTCGTTACGTTGCACGAGGCTTCAGTCAACGACAGGGAGTTGACTTCTTCCAGACCTTCTTCCCCACCCCGAAGATGACCACTCTTTGGGTGCTGCTGCACGTTGCCGCTCAACGTGACTACGAGCTTCACTCTCTTGACTCCAGCACAACGTTCTTGCATGGCAGCCTGCACGAGGAGATCTGGCTGCGCTGCCCTCTTCGCTTCACTGGGTCGTTCCCTCCTGGTACCCAGTGGAGCCTCCGGCGCCCAGTCTACGGTCTCCGCCAGGCGCCCCGTGAGTGGCACGACACACTGAGGACGACACTTGCGGCCCTTGGGTTTGCTCCTTCGACTGCAGACCCGTCGCTGTTTCTGCGCACCGACACTTCGCTGCTGCCGTTCTACATCCTTGTGTACGTCGACGACTTGGTCTTCGCCACTGCTGACACTGAGGCACTCGCCCTTGTGAAGTCAGAGCTGCAGAAGAGACACACGTGCACAGACCTGGGTGAGCTGCGCAACTACCTTGGCTTGCAGATCACCAGGGACAGAGCACGCCGCACCATTACCCTGACTCAGTCACACATGGTGCAGCATGTCCTTCAGCGCTTCGGCTTCCTGTTCTCTTCACCATAGTCCACTCTTTTGTATACCAGTCACTCGCTTTCAGCTCCACCTTCGGACGAGTCCGTAGAGCCGAGTGGCCCGTACCCAGAGCTTGTGGGCTGCCTCATGTACCTAATGACCTGCAGTCGGCCTGATCTTGCGTACTCTCTTAGCATCCTTGCTCGTTACGTTGCGCCTGGGAGACACCGGCGAGAGCACTGGGAGGCTGCTAAGAGGGTGCTGCGCTACTTGTGCAGTACATCAGGCATGGGGCTGGTGCTTGGAGGACGGGGTGACGTTGTCCTCACTAGACACTCAGACGCCTCTTGGGTTGATGACCTGGCTACGCAGTTTTTCGTCGCAGGGTTACACATTTAGCCTTGGTTCCGACTCTGTTTCTTGGCGGTCTACCCGCTCGTCTTCTGTTCTCAGCTCCAGCTGTGAGGCTGAGATCTACGCAGGAGCCATGGCTGCACAGGAGTTACACTGGCTCACCTACCTGCTGACTGACTTGGGAGAGCAGCCTCGTTCTCCTCCAGTTCTGTACGGCGACAACAAGGCAGCCCTTGCCTTGTGTCAGGAGCACAGACTGGAGCACAGAACGAAGCACATTGCTCTACGTTACTTTCTTGCTCGAGAGCTGCAGCAGCGTGGTCAGCTTCGTCTTGTGTACGTGGACTCGCGGGCCAACACTGCTAATATATTGACCAAGGCACTTCCGCCTAGCGATCATCAGCGGCACTGCACTGCGTTAGGCCTTGTGTCTACGTTCTCTCACTTGCTCACTTCTTGACCTTGTTTGTACTGTGATCTATATATATCCTTGCATGCTTATTTCTGCTAGGTTGTGATCACTGTACTGCTTGCATTGTTCTATATAGCTCTGCATGTGAACTGGCCTTGTGGCCATTTGCTTGTGCTCAGTGTGTGTGGTGACGTTGTGATCCACCCTGGGCTTGCTTTGCTTTTCTTGACTGGTCTTGTGACCCCTTGTTCTCCCCCACTTTGCCTATGGGGGTGTGTCAAACTGTATCTGCTACTTTTGTGTAGGCTATAGTGGGGTAGCCAATATGGGGTACAACCCCTTTAGGGTTTCTATTTGTACCCAACACTTTGCTAGTTCATTTCATTCTTGCTAGTTCTTCTGACATAACCCTCCCATCCCGAACTTTGCAATTCCCATCCCGAACTTAGCGTTTCCCACCCCATCAGAAGGAACGCTAGTGCAAATTGGGTCCAGATCCGTTGCACCTAGGCGTGCTTGGGCGTGCCGGGGCGCCCCAGCTCGCCCCGTGGCACGCCTCTCTACCCAAGGTCAATTTCAGGTATTTTTCCAAGTGATGGGAAGGCAAGAGGCTGAGATGCAAATGTTAGAATAGTAGGCATAGCTAGGCCTAGAAGCCTAGGGTTTAGGCTAGGTATTAGGGAGATGTCCAAGCAAGAAGGGGTTTCAACTATAGAATGAGAAGTACAAATAGGGAGAAGCATGCAGGAAGTGGTGCACCACCACGCAAGACAATTATGGGCGTACACTACAGCTAGAACTACATGCACTTATACAAAATATATGCAATATATATTCTGACACACCCTCTAAGTGCATGCAGGAATAGCCATGTGCAGAACACCCCCTGAAGTGGTACACCCTGCAGGGCGCAGCAGAAGAGGAGAAGTGAGGAGGAGAAGGAGGAACTGTGAGAGGAGAGAAGATAGAAGGCGACGGGTGAAGCCGCAGTCACACAGGCAACAGGAGCGGCGCGCACGGTGGCTACCGAAGAAAGGGCCCCGGACTACAGGAGTAACTGGCTCCGCGGCTAAGACGAGCGGCAGGAGCAACGGACCCACGGGCGACTGGCGCAGCAGGCTCGCTGGGCTACCGGAGCAAGGGCCCCGGACTACTGGCGCTGCTGACGTCACGACGGCTACCTCCGCTCAACCTCCCCCAACTGTCCCACACCCCTTTCACACACCCCTTGCTGCACCCCTAGCTCCACTCCCACGACACCCCCCTAGCGCCACTTTTTCAGCTCCCACACACCCACCCCCCTCAGTGGCACCTGCAGCAGTGGGAGAGAGAGGAGGAGGAGGAGCAGGGGACGGCTCACACACCCGCCACCCCCATACCCGCCACCCCCATACCCGCCACCCCAAGACCTCCAACGCAGGCAGGGCAGGGCAGAGACGCGGGCAGCAGCTGGGGCGGCGTGCAAGTGGAAGCGGGGCGGGGCGCGGGCCCCCAAGGCGCCACAACGGGCGACGAGAGGGGATAGCGCGCGGGCCCCTGGGGTGCCGCGACGGGCGACGGGAAGGGGGGGGGACGGCGCGCGGGTCCCTGGGGTGCCGCGACGGGCGACGTGCAGGGCGGCACGCGGGCCCCCAGGGCGTCGCGACGGGCGACAGGAAGGGGGGGACGGCGCGCGGGTCCCTGGGGTGCCGCGATGGGCGATGGGCAGGGCGGCGCGCGGGCCCCCAGGGCGTCGCGACGAACGATGGGAAGGGGGGGACGGCGCGCGGGCCCCAGGGGTGTCGCGACAGTTGACGAAACTGCCGCGCACGCCCGGGGCACGCGGCGGGCAGGAAACCGCCACGCGCCCCGAGCGCGTGGCGGGCAGAAAACCGCCGCGCGCCCCGAGCGCGCGGCGGGAAGACAAAAAAATGTCGCACGCCACGGGGCGCGCGACAGGCAGTACAGCAGCAGCGGAAGCATGTGGGCCCACAGGCCAGGAGCTCAGTAGCTCTAATACTATGTCAAAATAGTAGGCATAGCTAGGACTAGAAGCTAGGGTTTAGGCTAGGCATTAGGGAGATCTCCAAGCAAGAAGGGGTTTCAACTATAGAATGAGAAGTGCAAATAGGGAGAAGCATGTAGGAAGTGGTGCACCATCACGCAAGACAATTATGGGCCTACACTACAGCTAGAACTACATGCACTTATACAAAATATATAAAATATATTCAGACAGCAAACTTCGCCCCATGATGTGTACATGACTTACGCCAACCCGCTCGCAAAAGAAAATCCCACCATTGACCCCCCCATGATATTGTCGCAATCGACAGACACTTTCATCGAGGTCCTCACGTCACAAACTCGGCAAGTAACTGAAATCTCAAAAGTTTGCAAGCCTTTCGCGTGTGCTGGGGCGCCCCAGGGCACGCCCCGGGGCGTGCCACCACGCGTCGGTGCAGCGCCTCGTCCAAGCACGCCCCGGGGCGTGCCGGGACGAGGCGATGCACCAGGTTCCCGCCTGCGTAGAAGCTTCAAAACCCGATGCACCGAGGTGCATCGAGGCGTGCCAAGGCATTCCGCACCACGTCCAAATTCTCATCTCAAGCAGCACGGTATTACGAGCTAGTTTCCCATTTCCGTACAACGTACATGCACTGTTTTGCAGGCGTTAAGAGTTCCGCATTATTTAACCGGGCAGGGCTTTCCGTGTGGTTTCACGTCGCACCCAATCTGCTGTTGTTGCGCGGATGTTGCGTAGAAGTCCTGCTGATGGAACTGGTGCTGCCCCGCATAACTTGTGCGGAGGCTGATGCTAGCTCTAGAAATAGAGGCGGTGTTCGCCAGCACATTTGAGATTGGAAGAAATGCGACGCCATCGGAATGGCTACGGCATCTGGAAGCGGGGCCGGAACCCTCCGAAGAAGACTGGGCGAAATGCCACGCGCGAAATTTCATGCTCCGAAATGGGAAACGAGGCAACCGCATATGGAACCAGCCACCCCACCTTCCACCTTCCAGCCAATGACAGCGCCATCCGACGGCAATCCACCGTGAAATGGTGGATTGCCATGTGATGGCATGGGACTCTCGTTTGTCTGGGGAGGAAATTGCTTCCCCACTTCCGAATGTCGTGGTGGCTTCTGAAGTTTGAGAAAAGTGTGGGCGTTCGCCAGGACCCAAAGATTCAATTTGGATCGGACGGCATCCTAGGCTCGGCAGCATTTTCACGGGCTGACCAGGCTGACGGAGGTTAACGAACCCTAACTGACGGGATCAGGAAGGCGAGACCCACCTTCCTGATCCCGTCGTTGTACGGCCGCATTTGCTTTCAAATGTGCTGGCGAACACCGCCAGAATCAGCACCGCACAAAAGGTGCGGCATTTTGCCCGTCGATGCAACATCCTCGAACCAGCTGACGGATATTCTTTTGCGACCCAATACTGGTATTCTGCAGGCTGACGCGTCAAAATTGGCAATCACCAAACCTTGATAAGCTGAGAGGACCTTGTCAGCGAAGATTCTGCGGACCCGGTTTCTTGTAAAAAAACGCCTGCAGAACGACGCCGCAGATTTACAGCCCGAATTGAAAGCAGCTGCATGGAAATTCGCTTGCAACGCACGGAAATGAAACAATGATTTCATTCCGAGTCCGACTCAGTGCACGTAATCAGAAATCCCGAGTCCAAAGACCGCGTGCAACGCACGGAATTAAAAAACGGATCTTGATTCCAAGTTCGACTCATCGCGACTGAAGTGAAACCCTTCCCCCTCAAAACACCACCACTCATCTCCTCGGTTCAGCCAAGCTCATCATCCCTCAAATCTCGTTTCCGCCTACTGCTCATTCTTGTGTTCGTAAGTCAAAGCATCATTACCAGCAGTAGTAGCTAGCGGCAGCTCGTCGCCAGAGAATCAGAGTCTGCTTCGCTCAACTCGCTACGTTCAACGCGATTTGTCTTAGCTCGCAAGCTGCGTGCGCATTCAACTCGCTTCCGAACTTCGGAAGGAGCCCTTGCGTCAGCTGCTTTCGCGACAACGGCGCAGCCTTCCACGGTGTTCTAGACGAGAGGTGAGGCATGGTGGATATTACCATCGAGGGGATTCGATTTGCAACCTTTGCCGAGCATTTAACCGTCGTTGCTTCCGAAACGCGGCGCCATATGACATACGCTTGTGCGAAGGAATCGATTTTGCAACTTCTGTTCCTTTTAGATTCCACGATGTTCCCCTCCGCTGGTTTTACCGATCCTGCTCCTCTCTGTCCCCCCCCCCCCATCTCCCCCGACTGGCACCGTTTTCGCTCTGACAGCCCGAAACCGCATCCCGACCGGATGGCCGCCGCCTCTCCTCCGCTCCGCGAGTTCACCTTCGCGGAGCTACACGCGGCGACGGAGGGGTTTTCGGACTTACTGGGGGAAGGCGGGTTCGGGAAGGTGTACCGCGGGCGGATGGTGCTGCCTGTCGCTGATTACGTCACAGGCGGCACCGAGATGAGGGAGCGTGAGGTGGCGGTTAAAGTGACGAAAGGAAAGCAATTCACCAATAAGGAGCTGAAGGACTTCCAGGTGAGTGCTCTCAAGCAAAAACGTTCTGAGCAGGTGAGTGCTCTGTGAGAGCAGCAGGTGAGTGCAGTGTGAGAGCAGCAGGTGAGTGCTGTGTGAGAGCAGCAGGTGAGTGCTGTGTGAGAGCAGCAGGTGAGTGCTGTGTGAGAGCAGCAGGTGAGTGCTGTGTGAGAGCAGCAGGTGAGTGCTGTGTGAGAGCAGCAGGTGAGTGCTGTGTGAGAGCAGCAGGTGAGTGCTGTGTGAGAGCAGCAGGTGAGTGCTGTGTGAGAGCAGCAGGTGAGTGCTGTGTGAGAGCAGCAGGTGAGTGCTGTGTGAGAGCAGCAGGTGAGTGCTGTGTGAGAGCAGCAGGTGAGTGCTGTGTGAGAGCAGCAGGTGAGTGCTGTGTGAGAGCAGCAGGTGAGTGCTGTGTGAGAGCAGCAGGTGAGTGCTGTGTGAGAGCAGCAGGTGAGTGCTGTGTGAGAGCAGCAGGTGAGTGCTCTGTGAGAGCAGCAGGTGAGTGCTGTGTGAGAGCAGCAGGTGAGTGCTGTGTGAGAGCAGCAGGTGAGTGCTGTGTGAGAGCAGCAGGTGAGTGCTGTGTGAGAGCAGCAGGTGAGTGCTGTGTGAGAGCAGCAGGTGAGTGCTGTGTGAGAGCAGCAGGTGAGTGCTGTGTGAGAGCAGCAGGTGAGTGCTGTGTGAGAGCAGCAGGTGAGTGCTGTGCGAGAGCAGCAGGTGAGTGCTGTGCGAGAGCAGCAGGTGAGTGCTGTGCGAGAGCAGCAGGTGAGTGCTGTGCGAGAGCAGCAGGTGAGTGCTGTGTGAGAGCAGCAGGTGAGTGCTCTGTGAGAGCAGCAGGTGAGTGCTGTGTGAGAGCAGCAGGTGAGTGCTGTGTGAGAGCAGCAGGTGAGTGCTGTGTGAGAGCAGCAGGTGAGTGCTGTGTGAGAGCAGCAGGTGAGTGCTGTGTGAGAGCAGCAGGTGAGTGCTCTGTGAGAGCAGCAGGTGAGTGCTCTGTGAGAGTCGCTGCCAGTACTTACCTCGCAGCCGACGGCGAGATGACTCCGAGGCGGGAGTATGAGGTGGCGGTCACATTGTCACGAAACCAATTCAAGGCTTCAAGGCGACCTTTTTTTGCACATTTTTCATCCGTTCTTACACTCTTTTGCGTGCCTGTTCACTTTCATCTCCCTCGTACCTGTCCGTGTTTTCAGGCTGAGGTGGCAGCGATGATGTCAGCAATGAATCATCCCAACATTTTAAGGCTGGAAGGCATGGCGATCGACTCAGAACAAAGGCCGGTTCTCGTGCATGAGCTGATTCCCGGAGGAGACGTCAAGAATCTTCTCCAACGAGGTGAGACGGAATTCCTTCTCTCGCCGTATTACCTCGTTCGTTTGGTAGCTTTTGAAAGAGGGGGCGGGGGGAGGGGGGGGGGGGGGGGGGGTTTATATTCGGTCGATTCTCATGTATGAGCTGATCCCTTTGTGCAACGCCAAGGATTTTCTCACATGCGAGAGATATTCCCTCAACCCTTCCACCCCCCATCTCTCTCCGTCCAAATCCCTCTCCCATGTTCTTCTTTGCTTGTTTTCTCTCCTATCTCTTTGCAATTGGCCTAAATGTGCTGTTATGACCATGCGTTCACGCGTCAGCTGCTGTCAGCAGCATTGCTCCACTCCCATGTTGTCTCAACGCGTGAGGTCTGTTTTTTTTTGCTGCTACCCCTCTTTCAAATCTGTTCCTTCAGAAACTGACCCTCTCCTTTCTATCCCCCCGACTCCACTGCTCCCCCCACTTTCTCCGTTTGTCTACCCTGAGCAGTCGGCAAAAACGAAGCGCGATTTTCGTGGAAAGATCGCATGAAGGTCGCACTGGGGTGTGCTGAGGCGCTGGCTTTCTTTCACGAGAACATGTTCATTCACCGCAATTTTAAGTCCTCGAAGGTGTTTCTGCGACAGGTACGGTAATTTTTTTTTTTTTAAGCTGTGCGCGTGTGTGTTCAGCTACATTGTGTTCCCCCGAGCTACAGTTTGCACTCGTTTAACCACCATATTGTGATGTCTCACCACATCTCATTTATATTTGTTCAGTATATGATCTCCAAGTCCCAATTCTTTCCCATTGTAACCTGTAACTTTCAGGATTTCACTCCCGTGGTGGCAGTCGTTGGTTTGGCTTGTGGCATCAAGGACAGGGAAACACCTGAGTCAAGAACAGTAGTTGGCACACTGGGCTACATCGACCCAAACTATTTTAAGACAGAGAAAGCATGCCAGAAAGCTGACACGTATGCGTTTGGTGTGTTTCTTTTGGAGCTCATTTTTGGATACTACCCCATGGACGAAAGGTATCATAAGCTGAAGATGCTGGTCAGCCACAGGGATTTTACCGACCCTTCTTTGGTTACCGACCCTACAATCGAAGGTGAATGGAAAAAGGAGCATATTCTTCAAATCATCGTTATGGCTCTCTTTGCGATTAACCCCATCCCAACGAAACGACCTCCAATCAGTGATATAGCTGCAAAACTTCGTGGAATTAGGAGCGAGATGTAGGTTGATGAGTTGCATATGATGTGATGGTTTGCTGCTGACTGAAGAAAATGTTCGTGATGAGTTTCTTGTTATACTGCAGAGAGTGTGTGCACGTGTATATCAGAATATATTTGGTCGTTTCGTTTTGTTACAAAGTGATTGTGTTCGGCTTGGAGGTCCTTATATCAGAGCCTGGCGATTCGGAATTTTAGAACAGCCCAGACCCGGGATCGAGCCTTCGCCCAGGAATGGGAGATGGGAGGGGCTGAGATGCAAAATTCGCCGAAGGTTGTGTACAGAGCTGACTTGCGCCAACCGCTCGCAAAAGAAAATCTCGCCGTCGATTCCCCCAAGTTTATGACGCAATAAAATAACACATTCATAGAGATACTCGCGACAGAATGTCGGCAAGTAACTAAAATCCCAAGAGTTCGCAAGCTTTTCGCGCGTGCTGGGGCGCCCCAGAGCTCGCCCCGGGGCGTGCCAGCACGCGTCGGTGCATCGCCTCGTCCCAGCACGCCCCGGGGCGAGCCGGGACGAGGCGATGAACCGGTTTCCCGCATGCGTGGAAGCTTCAAAACCCAGGTCCGACTCTACCACGTGCAAGGTATAAAATTAGGACGCGTCACCTCTAGCACTGATCGTGCGATTTTTGGCTCGCAGGTTCGATTTTTGGCGGGGTTAGAAAAGTTTCGGAAAGTTTTAGAAGCACTAATCAAGGTTTCAGTACGGTGGAAGTTCAATTTTTTCAGGATCGAGCCAGAGGGGACGCGTCCTTAGGAAATCCCGAGTTTCATTCCGAGTCCGACTACCGCTTGCATCCCGCAGGAATAAAACTCCGAGTCCGAATGAAACTCGGGATAACCGAATTCTCCGAGTCCAACTCATCGCACCTGCAGGGAAAGAGCCCTCCTCCCCCTCAAACCCAATCCTTCTCGTCGGTTCACCCGAGCTCAATCCAGTCATCAGCCCCCTCAAATCTCGTTTCCACCTGCAGCTCATCCATCATGTGTTGGGAAACTCGATGCTATCAGCTTCGGCTCAGTATACTAGTACTAGTAGCTGGCGGCAGCTCCTCGCCAGAGAGTAAGAGTCTGTTTGCGCGTTCAACTCGCTACAATCACCGCCACTATCTCAACCGCCGCGGTTGTCGCTAGCGATTTCAAGTTTTCACAGCCCGCAAGCTGCGTACGCATAAAACTCCAATTGGAGTCCGCAGCTGCTTTTCGCGGTGACGGCGCGGACATAGGTGGATCATCATTGATACTAATATCGAGGTGATTCAAAGTGCAACCTATTGCCGATCGAGCATTTAACCATCGTTACTGTTCTGTCCGAACGCGGCGCCGTCCCAAAAAAGGTGGCGCCCACAACTATGCCCAAAACCAAGTCTTTTACAAGTTTATGCGCTGGTGAACACTGGTTTAGGTCTTGTAAATTTAGCCTTTAAAATTCTGAACATTCGTTCGTGAAGTCGTTTAACCTTTGCTGATTTTCCTCGCTCTCCGCTCCTCCATTCCCCCTATCTCCCCTACAGGCACCGCTTTTCGCTCAACAGGCCGAACCGCGTCCCGGCCGGATGGCCGCCTCCGCTCCGCTCCGTGAGTTCACCTTCGCGGAGCTGTACGCGGCGACGGGGGGATTTTCGGACTGCGTGGGGGAAGGGGTGTTCGCAAAGGTGTACCGCGGGCGGATGGTGCTGCCTGTCGGCGGAAGCAGCGTCAGTGATGGCGGAAACAGCGTTGATGTCGCTGGTTACGTTGGTGAATTAGAGACGGAGGTGGCGGTGAAAGTGATGAAAGGAATTCCTGCGGAGTATGAAAGATTCAGCGTGAGTGCTCAACACTAAAGTTGCAAAAGTCACACTTAAAAATTGGTATAGCTGCCAAATCTGAGATTTATGCAGTTCTTTTTCCGGGCATTTTTTCTGTGCGTACCCGTTCTGTGTTTTCAGGCTGAGATGGTAGCCAGTTCATCAATAAATCATCCCAACGTGTTGAGGTTGGAAGACGTGGCGCTCAACCCGGAAAAGAGGCCGCTTTTCGTGTATGAGCTGGCCTATTTAGGCGACCTCGAGACTTATCTCACACGAGGTGAGAGAAATCTCCACTCCTTACCCTTCTCTTCACGCCTCCCTCCCTGTCCCCCTCCACCCACTGTGCTCTACCTCACATATTTTCTCTCCTTGCTGTACGATCGGCTATCATGACCATCCGTAACAGCTATCACACAGCTATCGCACGTCAGCTGTTGTCACCATTGATTCTCCCCCATGTTGCATGTTGTCTTGAAGTGGCAGCAAGGTCTGCTCTTTTTGCTCTTACCCTCTTTCAAACCCCTCTCATTCACTCACTGACCTTCTCCCCCCCGTGTCCCCCTTTCCACCACTTCCCCCCCCCCCTCTCCCCCTTCATCTTCCCTCAATACAGTCCGCAGAAACGAAGACTGGTTTCCGTGGAAGGATCGAGTGAAGGTTGCGCTGGGGTGTGCCAAGGCTCTGGCTGTCATTCACGAAAAGATGCTCATTCACGGCGATTTTAAGCCTTCAAGGGTGCTTCTGCGGCAGGTACCGGTTTAAGTGTGAACGTGTGCGTGCGTGCGTTCATGTGTGTGTGTGTGTGTGTGTGTGTGTGTGTGTGTGTGCGTGTGCGTGTGCGTGTGCGTGTGCGTGTGCGTGCGCGTGCGCGTGCGTGTGTGCGTGTGTGCGTGTGTGCGTGTGTGCGTGTGTGTGCGTGCGTGCGTGCGTGCGTGCGTGTGTTCTATTAATTTTCTTCATCGTTAGGCTGTGCTAATCCTGGATTGTGTTCATTCCAGCTACATGCTATCACATTTACCACCATATTGTAATGTCTCACTACCATCTCCATGCCCGGATCTTCATTTCCATGTCGCGCAGGATCTCACTCCGGTGGTGGCCGGCGTTGGTGTGAATCGTGCCGTCGAGGAATGGGATATACGCGTGCCATCAGCAGAGATCAGCACACCGGGCTACATTGATCCCAACTATGTTCATACAGGCAAAATACGCCAGGCAACTGACATATATTCGTTCGGTGTGTTCCTTTTAGAGCTGATATTCGGCTATGACCCATTGGACAAAAGGTTTGAAGAGCTGAAAAAGGTGGTCAGCCGCGAGGATTTTAACGACCCTTCGTTGGTTACCGACCCGGCCATTGAGGGGGAGTGGAATAAGGTGCATGTTCTTAAAATGATTCTTCTGGCTCGCTTTGCCACTTTCCCCGACCTAGTGAGACGACCTAAAATGGGGGATATCGTTGCAAAACTTAAGGGTATGAGTGTAATCTCCGGTCACCGGTAGAAATCAAGGATCAAGACTATGTACTTTGTATATTTGCGCGATTAACACATCCACCCCATATGTTTTTTCGAAAGTATGTCTCACATCCTTTCATGCTAGGCCGTTTGGGAGATTTTTGTCAAATGATATAATTGCAGGTTAGGCTATAGGGAGGTAGGTACTCTCTAAAGAATACAACCCTTTTAGGGTTGCCTATTTGTATTTCAAACCTACCTAGTCTTAACATACTGGCATGGTGTCAACGTTGGTTCATTCCCCCACCTATCTACCGAGGTTCTAGACCGCCTATGTCAAACCATGTTATATAGTTTAGATAGGCTGTAGTGAGGTGCATTCGAGGGGATGCACAAACTCTCGATATTCTTCTTGTACCCCTCCATTCATTCTCCCATACCCAAGATAACTACTAAGTTACTTGATTGTGAGATGATATCAGCTAGCTCGCTCCTAGCTCCTAGCCTCGTGTCGCCTCGTTACGCTCCGTGTCACCCTAAATCGTCTCGTTCCGTGCTTCCCCGCCCTTTCCGCGCTGCCTCACGCTGCGCACTACCTTGACTGTAAGACCCGCGAGCACGCGCACAACAGCACGCACGCGCGGCAGAGCCCAGTGCGCGCGCTCACCAGCACGCGTACGTACGGCATCAGCCTCGCATGCACGCACTTCCAGCGCCGCGCGCCCAGGAGCCGCCGTCGTGCGCACTGAAACCGCCGCGCGCCACTGTACGTGCTGCCCGCACTCCGCCCCGGCCCTTACTGCGCCCTGCCCTGTCGCCATGCACGCTGCGGCCGCCGCCGCGAGCACACCAGCTGTAGCCGCTGTGAATGCAACGGTCGCTACCGCGCGCCACTGCAGCCCCTACCCGCGCCATGCCCTATCACGTCCCACGCCCTGCCCTACCGCCCGTGCGCGCAGCCTCATGCACACTGCCGAGCACGAGCAGACGCGAGCATCGGCATCCGTACGCGCACCTGCATCTGCCTCGACACTTGGCGCCGCGATTAGGAGCAGCAACTTCTCATGCCTTTGCCACGCACTGCTGCCCATGCTCCGTGCCAGCCCACCCATTCCCCACGCCACTAGACTTTTCCTAACCGCTACTCACTGTCAGAGGTCCACAAGTGATCCCCGATTGATCCTGGGGAAGGGTTATAGGCACGTCGGCCTGGGGGGTTATGGGCGCATAGCAAGAGGACAGACAGTTTGAGCTGGAGTTCTTCGCAGCTGCTTGTCTCCTTTTTTGTACCATGCTGCTAGCCCCTGAGGGAGACCCCGACGCCCTTGACATACCGACTCCTCGCACGTACCGTGAGGCAGTGTCAGGGCAGTGGGCCTCTCAGTGGATAGCGGCCATGGAGGTAGAGATGGCCTCTTGGAGATCCACAGGCACGTTCGTCGATGCAGCTCCCCCTCAAGGTAAAGTGGCCGCCGTGATCACCGTCTGTCTTCAAGACGCGCTACGAGGCTAGAGACTTCAGTCAACGAGAGGGAGTTGACTTCTTTCAGACTTTCACACCGACCCCGAAGATGACTCCTCTTCAGGAGTTACTTCACGTTGCAGCACATCGAGACTTCGAGCTGCACTCCCTCGACTTCTCCACTGCCTTTCTCCAGGGCAGCCTGCACGAGGAGATCTGGTTGCGCTGTCTTCCCGGCTTCACTGGCACTTTCCCACCTGGGACACAGCGGAGCCTGAGGCGACCAGTCTACGGTCTGCGCCCCATGAGTGGCACGACACGCTGCACACCACTCTTGCTGCTCTCGGGTTTCGTCCTGTGTCCGCCGACCTGTCACTGTTCGTTCGTTCTAAGGCCACACCTTTCTTCGTTCTTGTGTACGTCGACGAGTTGGTCTTCGCTACAGCAGACACAGTCGCTCTGGTTGAGGTGAAATCCGAACTGCAGCAGAGACACACGTGCACTGACCTTAATGAGCTGCGCCACTACCTTGGCTTGCAGATTTCTAGGGACATAGCCGCTCTCATACATGGTGGAGCATGTCCTTTGGCAGTTCAGGTTTCAGTTCTCTACCACACAGCCCACTCCTCTTGTCGTTGAGCATAGACTCACAGGAACTTTTCCCGACGAGTCCTTTGAGTATAGTGGTCCTTACGCAGAGCTTGTGGGCTGCCTCATGTACTTGATGACTTGTACTCGCCCGGACCTCGCCTTTCCCCTCAGCATCCTTTCTCGCTTTGTTGCGACTGGGAGACACCGTCCAGTTCACAGGACAACTACTGTGAGGGTGGCGAAGTACTTGGCGACTACATCATGCATGGGGCTTGTGCTTGGAGGGACACAGCCAGTTGTGCTGACCGGTCACTGCGACTCTTCCTACGCTGACGACGTGGAGACTCAGCGGTCTACTCAGGGATTCTGCTTCAGCTTGGGCACTGGAGATGCATCGTGGAGGTCCATATGGTCATCGTCTGTAGCGCAGTTTACTGCTGAGGCAGAGATCTACGACGCTGTCATGGCTGCGCAGGAGCTTCGTTGGTTGACTTTCTTGCTCGCCGACCTTGGTGAGCGGCCGAGCTCTGCACTGACCCTGCTCGCTGACAACAAGGCCATGATCCTCCTGTGTCGAGAGCCTCGACTGGAGAGCAGAGTGAAGCACATCGACGTCAGGTACTTTCTCCTGCGAGAGTTGCAATGTCGTGGCCAGGCATGCTTGGACTTTGTGGAGTCAGAGGCCAACACTGCAGACATCTTCACCAAGGCTCTTCCGCCTGATGATCATGACAGATTCTGTCTGCAGTTAAGCCTTGTTGACGTAGGCCCTCAGTTGCTTTAGTTTTTTTTTGTTACTCCGCTTGTCCTTGCATATAGATATACTTGTGTACTCTTGATCTGGCCTTGTGGTCGCTTGCTTGTGCTCAGAGAGTATGGTGACATTGTGATCCACCCTGAGCTTTGTTTTGACCGGTCTTGTGACCATTTCTTTGCTCTGCTTGCTTTGATGCCCCTCACTTAGCCTATGGGGGTGTGTCAAACTATGTTATATAGTTTAGATAGGCTGAAGTGAGGTGCATTCTAGGGGGTACACAAACTCTCTCGACATTCTTCTTGTACCCCTCCCCTTTCACCCTAATCCATTCATTCCCTCATACCCAACAAAACTATTAGTTACTTAGGTTGAGAGAGCCCGCCACCTTCTTGCCTAGGCCATAGCCGTCCCGCAATTGGCCAGCCATGCCTCCAGCCAGCCATCCCTCCAGCCGGCCGTTCCTTCAGCCAAGCGTCCCTCCAGCCGGCCGTCCCTTCAGCCAGCCGTCCCTCCAGCTGGCCATCCCTCCAGCCGGCTGTCCTTCAAGCCAGCCTCTCAGCCGCCATCGCACCAGCTAGTAGCGCACGCTCCCACCTGCAACAGCGCGCACCCCCTAGCCGGAAGCTGCGCTCTCCCCCCCTAGCACCAGAGTGCGCCCCTTTTCCCTGCAGCGCGCGCTCCGCCCGTAGGCAGCCCGTGCCCCACTAAAAGTTGTGTGCGCCCCGCCTGTAGGTAGCACACGCCCCGCTAGAAGCAGCGTGCGGCTGAAGCAGCACACACCACTAGCAGGGCATGCCTACAGCGTGCGCACACCAGCAGCGCACGCCAAAAGGACACGCCGCCAACTACACACGCACCCCGCAAGCAGCATGTGCCCCGCTAATCAGCTGGCCCGCCTTCCTAACACGCCCAATCGCCAGCCTACTTGCCCTAGTCCCGTTCCTGTCAGTGAGCACCAGCACACCACCACCACCCCACCAATGCTTGTTACCTCTCAATATTCATGTCCCTGGTGACACTCCTCGCAGCGGCTGGAAGCCGCATTCTCTCCTTACATTTGTAGATTAGGGTTTCTCGCTTCCGTTACTAGTTCACCATTCCTAGACTGACTTTCTTAGCCAGCTGTTCCTAGCTGTTCCCACCTGTTCCTAGCCGTTCCTCGCAATTCCCAGCAGTTTCTAGCCAGCACTTCCTAGTCTCCGCTCCCATTCGGCATGGCGTCTGCTAGATTTCCGCAGTAGCGGTCCCAGCAGTGGGGACCTCAACAACAGTGAGGGGCTGGTGGTTTGGGGATTGTCAGCTACAACAGTGGCCCAGATTGCTAGGATGTCCGTCGCATTGGCCGCAACGCCTGGCCCTGCCAATACTGGATCATGACTGGCCCTGGTGCTGACACTGGTTGCAGGCGTCCTGACCACTTCGCATTGTGCTACTTCAGTCCCCTCGACGACCTCTACCGTGAGCATTTCGGGCCTGACTCGGTTCCCACGTACTGGCTTGCTCTGCTTCGCCGTTCATTTGATATGCGCATAGATGATGTTCATTCTGTCACGAATCCTGTTGACTCTAGTATTATCGGATCTGTTCGCTTGCGTGTACCTAGCTTAGAATCTATACCTATTTCTAGTGTAGGTGCATGTGAGTCTAGTGCATGTGCAGTTACTAGCCCAAGTGTGACTCCTACTGATGCGTCTTTTTCCTTCACGCTTGACTCTGGCATGTCCTAGTGCTTCTTTCGTGACCACACTACTATCATGCCACCGCTAGCACCACCCTCAGCCGCTTTGGCTGATCCCACTTCTGGACCAGCCGTTGCTTGCAGATATAAAACACTCCCGTGCCCGACCATCTCCTCTGGAGCTGGTGGTTTTGGTCCAAAGGGTGTTGCCACTGCGGCACCTGACCCTGTTGTCCCTCGCTAACTGGCATCTCTATCATCGGCAGCAGCACCTCGAGCGTGTTGCCACGTCTGCGCCGATCAGCGAAGATACATTCCACCTCGTACTTTGGTTCATCCTTACTAGAACAGGCGGTGGTGGCGGTAGCTGTCGTCCCTGGAGCTGTAGGTTAGGGTCCTTGTAGGGCTTCAGCAGCTGAACATGGAAAGCGTTGTAAAGCTTCCACGTAGTAGGTAAGCGCAAGCGGAATGTAACAGGTGTCATCATCACCTCAACGTGAAAAGGACCACAGAAGTGAGGTCAGAGTTCAGACGGTTGATGGGACAAGTCAAAGTTGT